CTTGAGAAATCTTTCTGTGGTTGTTTTGGTGAGGAGAAGTAATTGAAGTTAGATTGGTTTTTAATTTGATGCTTTACTGGCCTGTATTGGAGATCCGCAATTGGTGTAAACTTGAGAAGGGGAGGTGGAGGAGGGGGAGATTTTGTCTTCGGTTCTTCTGATGAAGCAAATATTTTAGAAAGATTCTCACTGAAACTTTTAAAGATTTTGCTGGTAGTTTTACTTTGTTTGGGCTGGTTGGAAGTCATTGATTTTGTGCTATCCTTATGATATAAATATAAAAGATATATTAATAATATATTTGCCTGAAACAAAGGTGAGCACATAAAATAAACAGTATCCTTACTTAAGAGGGAAACATTTGTGATTAAGTAGTCCAAAGATATTGATAATGCAGTTAGGAATACATAAACCTTCTCTCATATTTAAGTATCAGGGGTGTGGTTTATAATATTTTCGACTAGCAATATTTAATGTAAATATTAATCTGTCCTTTATATAAATGTATAATGTTTGCCCTTTTTAGAATTTAGATAAATTTCGATGAGCATTAAAATAAAGCACAAAAGTTATGAATTTTAAATTATTTCCTGCGCTTATGAAGATTTATCAATATCAGTTTACGTTCATCTTAAATTTACAACTAACTGCACTTCGTGTAGTAACAACCGAAAATCATCTAGTTCACCAGAACTCGTAATGCAGGGAGTATATGATAGAAACCACTGAGAAACTATGTTAAAGTTGATATATCTCAGACTTAAAATAAATTCCTATCTTATTATTGAAATAGAATAATATTCTTTTAAATATCATAAATAAGAACATAGATAAATTAATTCCTTAAAGTCATAAAGTCAAACTTAAAGTAAATTTGAATTTCATTCAGAACAACAGCTTGTGATTCGCTAACAGTAGTTTTAAGACTGTTTATTCAAATTAGAATACAAATTCAATATATAAATATTTATTCAAGTATAAGTACAACAACAATAAAGTACGTCGTATATTTCATGTGCCAGTTTAATTAAGTGCATATCACCTTGATGAAAGGAAAGTTCAAACATAAGTGTTTCTCCAATCGTTTATCGAGCGTCACTTAGCAGTTAGAATGGATCCACAATCCGAGTTCCGAGTCCCCCCCCCCCCACGTGGCACAGCGGTATGTCTGCGGACTTACAACGCTAGAATCCGGGTTTCGATACCCGTGGTGGGCAAAGCTCAGATAGCCCATTGTGTAGCTTTGTGCTTAACTACAAACAAACAAACCGTTACTGTGAATTTACTCTCTAGATTTTCGGGCTGTGAGTGCGTTATGAGAGTGACGGTGAAATCCCATAATTCGATTATAGTAGTTCAAGTATTTGTAGCGAGTGGTGTTGGCTAGGTGCCTTCTCTCTAGTCTATCAATTCAAAATTAAGGACGAGTGCCACGGATAGATCTTGTATTGTTTTATTGTTGTTGAATTTCATACAAAGATAGGGTTATCGCCGCTATACATCCCTAATTTTGAAGTGAGAGACTAGACATAGGCTACTTTTTACTAATCAGTAGTGAGATTGGTCGTCACAGTATAATACCCATAAGGCTGTACTGATAGTCATGTTCGGTGACGGGATTCGATCTCGCGACTGTATATATCATATTTTTCCCCTAGTACCTCAGTGATAAATATGAAGGCTTATAACCCTAAAAACTGGGTTTCGTTACTGGTGCAGGGCACAGCACAGATAGCCCATTGTATAGCTTTATGCTTCACAACAAACAAACAAAAGTAAAACTACATTTTTACGTTCATTGCGTAATTTTCAAATGTAAATATTACTTAATGGCACGTTAAACTAAATGGTTTGTTAACACTCACGTCATAAATTTCTGATACATTTTTC